ATTTTCGTTTCCCAAAAACAATTTACTCTACATGTATATGTTTCATTGCGCATTTTTTTTTCTGTTTCATTCCAATCAGCATTGCAAAAAAAACATAACCATCGTTGACAATTGTCACATTTTTGTTTTGCATACATCGTACTATTGATAGAAAATGCACCACAAGTACATATTTGAAAATCAATATTTCGAGCCATTAATGTTGTTTCATCCAGTTGAAGGAGTGATTGTATAAATTGTGAAGTAACAAAAACTTTTTCTGGTGATACAGTTTTATTACAAGTAAGACAAATGATTTTATAATCATAATTGGCAAAATAGTTAGGAAAACATTCTTTGCAAATGATTGAACTACAGCAAAATTTAATGCATTTTTTTTCTTCAGTACAAATCATACATTTTGAATTTGTTTGTTGGGTCGGAATTTTACGTAATTCATCTTGAAGATCAACAAGAATCGTTGCCTTGTGTGAATCAATATCAACTAGACCTGAACCACCATCCATTCGTTGACAAACATAAATGGTTGTACTGTTTTTAATGGATTTTTTTAATTCAGCAAATTTAACTGGATCATTGTCTTGTATTTCTTGTCCATTAACGACAAGTCGATAGTTAGTAGAACCAAATTTTTCTTGAACTATTTTTTTAATATCTTCAACACTATAACCTTCTTTGAGTTGTGCAGAATATTTACTACCTTTCATTGTAGCAAAAAATACATTGATAATACCCGACATGATTTCAAAGTAATTCTAAAGACAAAATACAAGTTCTCTATTTATTATTGATAATAAACAATAATATTAGAATTCAAATTAAAAGAATACTATCTAGCTATACAAAATGTAGATCTTTTATATATATGTTGGCGTCCAATGTCGGATTCAGTCCAATCTCGGATTGGCCTAGGCAAATCACGGATGCTTAAATTGGACTAGTCCAATATCGAATTGATGCAATTCGGTTCACTAAAATATCAATTACTCTTGAGATAGACGTTGGATTCGAATTATTTTTTTTAAGTATGTTCGCACGGTGCCGTTTTAAGTATTGCAGGTATTCAGGAAGAAGCCAAATTTAGACTGAAGAACTTTATAACAACTTTTCATAAAAGTTGTTGTTCTATAGAAATTTATTCATAATTCCCAAACTTTTACTTAAATCTTTCCAACAACGATAGTGACAAACAAATTGGCATTGTGTGAACATAATTTCAAAAAATAATTCGAATCCAACGTCTATCTCAAGAGTAATTGATATTTTAGTGAACCGAATTGCATCAATCCGATATTGGACTAGTCCAATGTAAGTATCAGGGTTCCCGATTAGGGGGGGGGCAGGGAGGGGCTTTCCCCCCCCAAAATTCTAGACTTTCTGCCAAAATTTTTGATAATACTTTCTGCGAAATTTTTAAAGATCAGTCCAGTAGAAAATTTCTGAATTTGCTGGAATAAAATCAAATCAGAGATGCTTTCTGCCAAATTTCGGCAGAAAGTCGATGTTCTTTCTGCCAAATTTCTCGCAGAAAGTCGATGTTCTTTCTACCGAATTTCTGCAGAAAGTCGATGTCCTTTCTACTGAAGTTCTGCAGAAAGTCGATGTTCTTTCTGT